GAATATTCAAAGTGAATTATCAAACAGGTTCAGATACGACCTAAAGGAATTTAAAATATAGCTGACAGCTCTGGAGTCTTCTTATTAGAAGATCATCCATACAACAAGCCATTGGAGTCTTCTTATTAGAAGATCATCCGCATAAACAGGACATTTGAGTCTTCTTATTAGAAGATCATCCAAATAATAATACGATGACTCTTTATGAAGAAATCAATCGAAACAAGCATCATTGAATTTTTCCACCAAGAGTAACATTCAAGCTTCTGGAAATTCCTTGAAATGAATAGTCACTCACGACCTTCTAGGAACCATCAAGAAAAATAGGATAATTAAACTCTCTATATGTGCCAACAACTATTGGATTTAGACTGCAAGCATGGTTATAACCAACTTCTAATGTATCGGTGCCAGCTACAACTGGACTTTAACTGAAATTAGGAATAACTAAACTTCAAATGCCAATTATGATTGAATTTATAAGTGAATGCCAATTACGATTGGAACTTTAAGAATTCTAGCAACAATTGAACTTTAAATGAAATTGGCAACAACAAAACTTCAAGTATCAATTATAAACAAAATTCTAATTATGACTAGACTTTAAAAGGATTCCAACAACAATTGGACTTGCAAAACATAATGCCAGTAATAACTGGACTTTTTAAACAGAGTTGGAGACTGAAGGAAAATTGCGATCTAAACGCAGCGGAAAACAAAAATTTTCCTTTAGTGATCCTCACGAATGAGCATGGTCAGTGATAGAATCGTTACCTCTTTGTGGCGATTCAGATCTTTGATGCAGCGATCACAAGCGTTGATGAAGTGCAACGCCTCTACTCAGTCCACACGAACAGCTTCCGGTCACAGTGCTAGCTGCTTACGAACGGAATTATTTGAGTGAGAAAAGAGAATCAAAAACGAAATTGCATCAAGTGAAACTTCATCACAAGGGTTCCTTTTATAGACTCTCTTGTGGGCTGCGGGCTAAAACCCTAATTCACATGATCCATAATAATATTATATATTATTATAATAACTATTATTATAATAAATATATTTATTTTATTATTATTTTATAACCATTATAAAATAACAATAATTATTATTATATTATCCGAATTTCTATTTTTCACTTAAGTGCACCGTACCTTACGGTGTTCCTTTGATTTCTCTATTTCTCATCAAACTGTCCTTATGTGTGTGACCCTGTAGGATTTCGTAACGTTGGTAATTATATTAAATTATATATATTTAACATAATAAACAGTAAGCGGTATCTAGCAACACATCACTGCTACCCAAGTCACGAAAATGTCATGTGATCTGACAAAACCTTTTTCGTGATAATATATGTTTGTACAATTACCCTTTTGCCCCTATGTCTATATTGAACACAAGGCATACACTGTGTCATCCTTGTCCAGTTCAATATTGGGCCCTTAGACATTTCTCCTGTTATGCAGGATTGGCAAATTCCATCTAGGACACTCATGTCCCTCAGCATGCTTCGTGGAGTGCCCATCAACTGTCTTTATGATCATCCAGTTACGGATAATGTTTGATCAGCAATAAAGCACCCGACTCTACATCTAGGGTCCATAGTGGTTTCAGGTCGAAGGGTGGTAATACACCATTATCACCATGAGAATAACTTATGACACTTTGCATAACATACTATGTAGTATTCTCATAGCGGGTCAATCCGGTATAAATATTACTCCTAATATTTATACCTATGTCAAGACTTGATAACTCTTTATCCATGATCCATGAGATGTGATCATCAGTCTATCTTCATAATAGTCTCAATGCTTTTAATGTTATCCCACTTTGCAATAAAGCTTGACTACGGATATTTTAAGAATAATGTCTTTATGTTTAATGGGATCTCATGATTAAGTCACACTTAACATTTCATTAAACAGACTAACTATTCTAGGGACTTTATTATTCTGAAAGACAAACATAATAAAGAAATGCCTTTTATTATTAAACGAATAATCTGATACAAGTACCAAAAAGTATTGGCCTCTAGGGCTTACACCAACAGAGACAACCAAACTTCAGGTACCAATTATTGTTGGATTTGCAAACGAAATGCCAGCTATGATTGGACTTTTAAATAAATCCCACAACAATTGGACTCTTAAAACAGAATACCACAAAAACCTGAACTTGAAATGACAAAGAATAGATTCTAGAAATGCCTCAGAAATACGAAGGACTATCTAGAATTACATTAGATAACAAGGCTCAATCTGGAAATTCATCAGAGAGATAGACAAATTCGGTAATACATCGGGTAAATGAAACAAATTTTGGAAAAACGTCAGGATGGTAACCAAATATATGGAAATACCTTAGATCAAACAATAGGGGTTCTAGAAATACGTCAGAAGAGATACTTAATCTAGAAATACATCAGATAGGAAGACTCAATCTGGAAAAACATCAAAGAGATAAAGGGATAATTCATAAATAATTTGGATAGGTTCTAGAAACACCTCAGAACTCGACACTCAATCTGGAAAAAAATCAGAGAGATAAACACATCCAGTAATACATAGGATAGAAAGTAAAAGAATTCTGGAAGTGCATAATAATTACAAGGGAATATTTGGAAATACATCAGATAACACAAAGACTCAATCTGGAAATACATTAGAATACAAGACTCAATCTGGAAATACATTAAAAAGACAAAGGAAACAATCCGAAAATTCATTAGAGAATGAAATAGGTAAATTCTAGGAATGCATCAGAATTAAAAGACTAAAAAAATAGGTATTCCAAAAATTCATCAGAGGTGAAAAAACGAATTCTAGGAACGCATTAGAATTTCAAGGGAATATCTGGAAATTCATTAGATAACAAAAAGAAGGTTCTGGAAATACGTCATAATAGATAAGACATGTCAGAAAATTCATCGGATAGGGAAGTGAGCAATTGACTCTCACGAGAAGACGTCTATCTTTGGTAGGTGTTCGTAGTGAAAATTGGTGAACAACCGCTGGTCTTACAAATCGAAAAAAGATCTTTTTACTTGCAGGATCGACCATACAAATCCTAGGACATGTGCTAATTGATCTTAAATGAAGTTTATGAAAACTATGAGCACTTTGTCAGAGTCCATGATAAAGCAACTTATTTCAAATGTAAATGAATTTAAGTGACAGTAAGGGAAATCGAAATGCTGGTAAATGACAAAGATAAGAACTTGCATAAAGAAATACTAAATTCTTAAAGAAAGAGATTTATCAAATTGCATTGAAATGAAAATACTGGTGTTTAGTCAACGTACATTCTTACAAACTCGTTTCTCTCAATCACACGAATACTTGGAATATACTGAAGAATTTGTACAAAATTGAACACATCCATTTTAACACTAAGACTGACTATTTATAATAATCAAACATAACTGCCATTAACGGCTAACAGACGAACTCAAGACAAATGTCGTTGGGCATGCCTTCGAATCATATGGGCACTCCACGTGTCTTTCTATTAAACAGACTTTCCCTCTTTTATTTGAATTCAAAACGAACTCGTCGAAATACCCTTCTCAATGCTTCTATCAAATCAAGTCTTCTAACTGCTGAGGAATATCTCTAAGTCCATAACATAGACTCTCCAGGTGAAAGGACGCCTTCGAATCCTATTTGAAAACATGGATCCAGTCGAAGTTATTAGATTTCTTCAAGAAACTCTATTTGTTACTTTTAACTTCATTCAGGCGTCGAAATTAGGAGTCAACAAATTGCCCCCCAAAAATGACATTTTCGACATCAATGAAGAACAAGACATATTTTGATAGTATCATTCAATGCCTTGAACGACTTTTGCATGTCTTTTACTATTCCAAGAACTTGTGCATGTCTTTTGAACTCCCGCAAGCTTATAAATTGTTCCAAACTTTCCCATTTTAACTTTTATGCTTCCAGAAGTCTTCAAATACTCTTCTTCCCTCTACATTTCCAAACTTCTAAAAAAACCAGATTATTTTCAATCTCAACAATGGCGTCTTCAACCACCAATGTTAAAGATTTCAAGAAAATCCACAAGTCCAAAGACCTGAAGAAAATATCCCAACTTCCTCCTTTTGACACACTATTAGCACCTATGAGAATGGGAAACCAACAGTTTCTCCCTGAACCGCTTGCAGAAGAAAAGAGGAAGATATATGAACCCCAGGTACTCATTCCTCTTGTTGTTTCTGGTAAAGTACATGCCTTATGTGGTCCTTGTCATACCCCAAATTTGTCCTACCTTTTTGAAAATTTTTATTAGCCCGACTTTATTTTTTCAATTTGTATTTGCTTGTACAACTTAACGTATTTTTCACTTTTTGTCCAATAAATTTGTGACACGTGGCGTTTTTTTTTATTTTGTTATTATTTATATTTGAACATTTTATTATTAAGTAATTAATTAGTTTAGAATAGGATAGAATTATAATTATCATTTTTTTAATTAGAATATAATTTTTTAATTAGGAATAGGATTTAACTTTTAATTATTATTAAATTAGAATTTGATTTAAAAAATAGAGTTAGTTTTTTTAATTAATTAAAATTAGTTAGAATAGAAAATAGGTTTATTAATTTAATTTATTAAACAGAAAAATTAAAAAAAATTAAAAAAGAAATTAAATGAGCAAGACACGGTGGAAAGTTTGGAATTTAGGTTTAGGGTTTGAGAGGATTGGGATAAATAGGGGAGGAAGGCACTGTTCATGGATCCCCAATTCTGAAGGGTAACCCTAGCCACTAAGGCCATTGCCCTAAACCCTCACTTCACCTACAATCATCTCCTCCTTCACAATACCGCCGCTCACCTTCCTTTCTCCCTTTCATCTTCATTCGCCGTTCTCCACCATTTTGTTTCCGGCGAAGCTACCACCACCAATATACACTCTCACACTCTTCCAAAACCCCATTCATTCATCACATTCCGATTCCATTGTTCCTTCGCTCTCTCAATTCACAGATACGAAAATGGAGGCAACAATGTCGGCGTGTAAATCTCTTACTTCACCGTCCACCGTTCCCGTCGTCACTGGTTTATTTACGGCGAGAGGAGGATTCAACAAGAATTCGCGTTCTCAGTGTAGTTTCTTATCGGGAACTAACAAGGTGAAGTTTCCTAGGCAAATTTCTCGACCTTGTAGACAACGCCGAACACCTCATTCTGGTGCTCTTCGTGTAACTTGTGGTGTTGAAAAGATCTTGATCGCGAATAGAGGCGAAATCGTTGTTCGTGTTATTCGTACTGCTCATGAATTAGGGATTCCTTGTGTTGTTGTTTATTCCACAATTGATAAGGATGCTCTTCATGTTAAATTGGCTGATGAAGCTGTTTGCATTGGTGAAGCTCCCAGTAGTCAATCGTATTTGCTGATGTCAAATGTTTTGGCTGCTGCTACTAGCCGCAATTGCACAATGTTGCATCCTGGATATGGTTTCCTTGCTGAGAATGCTGGGTTTGTTGACATGTGCATAGCACATGGATTAAACTTTATTGGGCCTAAATCTGACAGTATTCGGGTTATGGGTGACAAAGCAACTGCAAGAGAAACAATGAAGAAAGCAAATGTTCCTACTGTTCCAAGAAGTGATGGGCTTTTGCAGAGCACTGAAGAAGCTATCAGGCTAGCACACAAAATTGGTTTCCCTGTGATGATCAAGGCAACCGCAGGTGGTGGAGGACGAGGTATGCGTCTTGCTAATGTACCTGAGGAGTTTGTGAAGTTATTACAGCAAGCTAAGAGTGAGGCAGCTGCTGCATTTGGAAATTATGGGGTTTATTTGGAGAAGTACGTTCAAAATCCAAGGCACATTGAGTTCCAGGTTCTTACTGATAAATATAATAATGTTGTTCACTTTGGAGAGCGTGATTGTAGTATCCAGAGGCGTAATCAAAAACTGCTTGAAGAAGCGCCATCTCCCGCATTGACCCCAGAGTTACGGAAGGCAATGGGAGATGCAGCAGTTAAAGCTGCTGAATCTATTGGGTACATAGGTGTTGGAACGGTTGAGTTCCTTTTGGACGAAAGGGGTTCTTTTTACTTCATGGAGATGAACACTCGTATCCAGGTTGAACATCCCGTGACAGAAATGATTTCCTCCATTGATTTGATAGAAGAGCAAATTCGTGTAGCTCTGGGCGAAAGGCTTCGATAATGTTGCAATCCAGCAGCAGATGTGATCATTTGTGTTGTGTTTTCAAGCCACTGATTTATTTAGTTCAATAACTCGTCATCTCGGTTGCAGCTCATGATGATGTCAACTATAACTCAACGGTTATGCATTTGTGTCGAAAGTCAGGTTTGTGTCCTTGAATATGATGAATAAGAAAACTATGGACCAAAGGAAGATGGGAAGGATATGGATTTACGAGACCTTAGAGTATTCTAGACAAACGCATAGCAGACTCATTACGCACCGTTATTATAGATTGGTCATGATACTTGTGGAAATACAATCACAGAATATGGTGAAAGATGTCAAGAATGAAAACAATGGTACAGGGAATACAAAAGTTCTGTGTTCACAGGACATTTTGTCACTCTTCCGCCGGCAGAAACGACATACCTTCAACTCAACACGATTATCGTGAATTTCATTTTTCACCGTGTTCTGTTTTCTATTTCCATTTGGGCTGTTGATTTCTATGCAGGGTGGCAGCATCGCCGAATCATTGGTTGTACGAAAAGATCTTGAAGCGCCTCCGTAAACATTATCATTGTAGAAGTTTCCTTTTTTCGCAGGTTGTGACTTCGTCGAATTTCAACTTCAGAAGTGCGAAGTCAATGTAGAGAGCAGCAGTTCATCAACATCAATTTGAAGCAAGAACCGCAGCTACCGACGTCAACACCGACACACTCAACTTTTCAGTCCGCGACTCGCTTCTCCAGCAACAACAGCGACTCTGCAGCGTGTTACGACATAAATAGCCCAGCAGAGATTCCTATCACAATAACTGTTTCGCAAACGGTAAATCTTCGAACAAAGTTTTAAGCGTTATGCAGTTTGCTTTTGTTTCTAAGTTTAACGTTGGATCCAATATTTTTAAGGTTTTTTGTTTGATATTATTAATTTACTGTAATTGCCGGCAATTTTGTGTATTATGCAGCGTTGCGTATTTCGTTTAATATGATGATGTTGTTCTGTCTGGACTGATTCCACAATTCGGTTTAGATTGCAGTACCTTGATTTAAAAATGTATGTATTTAATTAAGATTGATATTTTCTTGATAAATGTTTGTCATCAGTCTTTCAAAAGTGGGGTATTGGATTAATTGGTTTTGGTCTATCTAGTTGGTTATGTTCTGTTAGAGGAATATATGTAATTTTCAGATTGCCTTGCTTTTTTCCCTTTGACTAACAGACTAGTTTTGTGCAGCTTGTGACTATTAATGATCAATAAGTGCTTTAATTTTGTGTTATGCACTATTCATGCGAGATATTATTATTATTATTATTATTTTTGTACCGTCGACTAACATAATTAGTTGTACAGGGAAGTTGCAATCGAATTTATATTGATCTTGCACCGACATTATTACCACAACATTCAGTTTGTATATTGATACAAATTGATAAATATTATTCATGTTGTTTAGTTTAATTTCGTGTCATTAAGATTGACTTCATTCCGTTGGATTCACTAATTTCATATGGTTATATCACAAAGTAATTCTTATACATTAATCGGACAATTTTCACCATGTGGCCGCTAGGTACAAACTGGTTTTATAGCACATTGTGAAAGATTATACTTGATTCATCTTATGTGTTTGCTTTTATGTTATTTTATTCCCATGCAATACAATGTATCCCAACCCCCTCAAAGTGTAATAATTTTTATCTCTTTTATCTAATGCTTTAATGCTGCAAAAGTTTTTTTTAAAAACAAATTCTCGATTAGTCGAGCCATTTTCTACCCTTGTAAGTCGAGTGGTTTTAAAGCCTCGCCGTCAACCTTTGATCACAATACACAACATTTTAAAGCTTAATCCTGGGCTTCCTTACAGTGACACCTATTTGATCAAATACTTCTAATTGGTCACTTAGAAGACTAGCCCACTTTGCTAGTGCACACGTTAAAACGCAAATTTAAATCTCAAGCATTTTCTCAAATCATCTTCAAAGTTATTTGATTGAAAGAGAGTTTAGAGTCTTCTATTGTCTCTCTCAGTTCACTTGTCCAATTGTTTAAGTATGAGGAGTCTTCTTCATACTTAAACAATTGTTTTCCTGAAAACCCTTAAATTGTTTTCACGTAAAATTCAAACCTTGATTCATATCAAGCAATTTCTTCAAGTCAAACTAAAATACTTAATAACTATAAACTACAAGAGAGAGTCCCAAGTCTTTGGGTCTCTCTCCCAATTGTTTGGGTCCGAGAAGTCTTTCTTAAGCTCGAACAATTGTCTTCTAAAAACCATAAACAAATTCAAATATATTTTCTTAAATACATAGATGAAAAAGAGAGAGCACCAAGTCTTTAGCTTACTTTCCCGGTTATTTAAAATTCAAGAAGTCTTTCTTGAGCTTTGAGTAATCGTCATCCGATTAATACACTATAATATTATTAAATATCTTTCATAATATTAAATGAGAAAAGGAGAGAGCTCCAAGTCTTTGGTTCACTTTCCCGATTACTTGAGGTCCGAGAAGTCTTTCTTAAGCTTCGAGTAATCCTCATCTGTTAAAATATTTTAACCACATCCTATCGTTCAAACGCCATTCAAACAACTCCTTTTTGCGATGAAAAAGAGAGTGTTCCAAGTCTTTGGTTCACTTTCCCGATTACTTGGGTCCGAGAAGTCTTTCTTAAGCTTCAAGTAATCGTCATTCGTTCAACTTATTCAAACCATACTTAATTCTATCCTCTCGCAGTTGAGGTTGAAAAAGAGAGAGCTCCAAGTCTTTGGTTCACTTTTCCGATTACTTGGGTCCTAGAAGGCTTTCTTAAGCTTCAGGTAATCGTCACCTCTAGCTAAACATCCAATACATATAACCAATCTTTTCCTCGCCCTGTGCAACCAATACCTTATAACCTATTGAAATCTATCCTCTTTTCCAAACCAAAATACTTAACCAATCAAACTCTACTCGCCCTCGTGCGATCCATGACTTAAACGACTCTTCTCAAAGAACATTGTTTAGTCCCTTCTTCCGCGCATAACAAACTAGTGCTTCAGCCTCCCCTAGCGAGCAGACAAGCCAATGTTTAGTAGTTAGAATGCGACCTAAATTCTCGTTCATTACAAACACAAACCTTTTAGCAAACCGTAGTTAGCCGAACTACGGCTGCTCTGATTCTTCATTCCCTTTCGAATGTAAGATACGTAGGCACAAGATCGCGATGATCTTGGCGAGCACAATCCCCTCTTTACCTGTAGTCCCACGAACTACGAATGCTCTGATTTTTCACTTCTTACAAGTGAAGATACGTAGGCACAAGGGCCCCAATCCTTGGCGAGCACCCTATCTTAATAATCACCCCCTTTTCCTATTAGCAAGCAAATCCCCTTAGAAGATAGACAAACATAGTTAACTTTATCTCGCGAATCGACTCAAGAGGTTCCCGTTGAGTACATCGGACGTAGAGGGTGCTAATACCTTCCCTCTATGTAATCGACTCCCGAACCTAAAATATTGGTTGCGATGACCATGTTCTTATCTCCTTAAAGGTTTTATCGATATTTTCCTATTCCATCCTTGGAATGAATAAAGTTCGGTGGCGGCTCTGTTTCGAACAGTATTTTCCGCGGCCATCGCGAGGATCGTATTTTTCGAGGTACGACAGTCCTTTGCCTTCTTCTAGTTTTTATCATATAAAATCTAGGGACTTTTTCCCCTCTTACCATAAACCAAAACCCATAGGACAGGCCAACAAAACTAGGGTTGAGAAAACTTTTGCTGATGCGATAGTGTTAAACAATATAGATTTAAGGTACATGAACAATAACTTTAGAGTTTTTAGAGAAATACCTTCCTTCAAAGAATCAGATGACTATATGAACTGGCTAGTAAAGATAGAGAAAGTCAAATCCCAAACCTGGAAGAAACTGGGAATTTATGACTTGATCATGATGTCGAAAACAAGTATTGACTATTGTTAGATAATGTTGGTGTCTTCCTTGTACCCCTTGTGGGATGATGACCCTTACACTTTTTAATATAGTTGTTATCACAGGGCTTAAACCTACTGGAAACCCATATGACTCTGACCTAGAATCTGACGATTCCATAGGCTTTACATCTGCCAAAGCCATATACTCTCATATCATAACGCACTTGTTTGACAAAACAACTACTTATGTTTCTGATCGAGAACATATAGCTTTTTTAACTGTGTGTCTATTCCACTGCATCTTCTGCTCAAAATCCCTTCAAGTAGCTAGGAGATACCTAACCTTGGCCACTCAACTTCATAAAGGCCATGGCATCTGCCTAAGTGAAATGATCTTGGGGAACCTTTATGAGTCTCTAAGTGAGAGGGTAGCCCAACTCAAAGACTTAAGAGAAAAGGGAAACATTTTACTATCTGGTCCCTTCTGGCTTTTATAACTCAGGCTGAATGCCTCATTCGAAGCCAACCTCCCGAACAAAAATCTAATCGATAAAACTGCTGAAGACATCAGTAATAGGAGGGTCGAAGGGACTCACTTGGTCCAGCTCACTCCCAATGAAGAATGATAGACCCTCAGGCCAATGTTCTTAAGCTATGTCATGATGTTTTCTAAATGTCATGAGCTCACATCAAACATGGACCCATTTGCTTCAAGAAAACATGGTTCTGAGTGATTCACCAGACCTTTCCCAACTCTAAACAAGGTTCAAGAAGCAGAATCTTCACAGATCTGGGAAGCCTTCCTGATTCCAAGGTTGATAACGCTTCGACTGAATCTATCGAAGTCTCAAGTTACTTTGGTTTCTTATCAACAAAACTTGGTGGCTCGACAATTTGGGTTAGTCCAAGCTTTCCCTAGGTTCTCTTCGAAAAGAAAGGTGATCTTCTGCTTCATAATGTGAAGTACACTGAAGAGATGGCTTCGACACAATTTCCCGTTACTCCAACAAAGCTCAGCTCATTCACATTGGTTTCAATCCAAGTTTCTATTGTACCCCAGAGTTCAACCACTGGTAATCAACCTACTTCGCAGAAGAGT